TTCCACACACGAAAACCCTTAACGAAACTTAAGTGCGATTTGCGTTTTACTGAGCCAACTTTCGAGTCATTGGCTCAGTTCGGTTCATCTTCAATGTCGTCTTCTGACAACTAATTCGGGGCGTTTTCCGTCTTTGTTACAGACCGCGAGAGAAAGCTAAAATTTGCATGAAATGTCTTGCAACCTGTAATAGAGGAAGCAACCAACCACGTTCTCCCCAAGGAAGGATCGAAGATTCTGGAGCTTTGTTTTTAAACAGCTATATTCCAGCTGGCGAATTCACGAAGATGTGATCCGCATTAGCGACCGGGAGTTTTCCTCCGGGGGCTTCTCCGGTTTCTCCGTGGCATCCCAACAATTACTCCATTCACACGCAGAAGAAGGCAATGGCAAACCACTTCTGGATCATCTGCCAAGAACGTATATGAACAGGTCCCAGTCCGAGAAAAGGATGGAAGGATCCTGTTCATATGGACCTGTCGTCGTCAGACAGAACACTAAATAAAATAATTAGGTGGGTAAATAGCAACATCGCGGTGTGACTTCACAAAATCTGATCACATCGTTTCTATGAATCATCAAAAACACTTGCTATTACGTGATTCACTGCAGACAATTTCCTTGCATGACACAAGAAATTATTTCTCGGATCGTTTTTAAAAGCCAAATAACAAAAATCGAACCATCCAACCACTTTTTATTTTTGACACGCAAATTTTCTTCAGTATTTCTTCGCAGCATTTCGGTAGATAGTTTTTCCTTGCAGCTGATTTGTCTGGATGGCCTGGGTATGCTTTAGAAACAAATTACAGACTTCGGGGTTACGTAAGCTAAAAAGTGAAACATTTGGGAATCAGAAATTTCCCACGTAGCCATCTTTTAAAAGGACACTTTCAAATATTATGAAACCTGAGAACGCTGTTGTGTGGCATTTTCCACAACCGTGAAAGGAAAAAAAAGTGAAATTCACTTTAAATCAATAGCATACTGACGTAAACGGAAACTGGGATTGTATTTTAATTTTCCTGGTTCTTGTAAACTAATTTCGACCGCTTAGCCGCAGTTCAATTAGCAAAGGAATCTTCTGTGAACAGTCTTCGTGAAGATCTCTAGCGGTTATATCAGCGTTCCGGATTTCCTCATGGGCCACACGTAAGACTCCCTTGCTGTCAACAAGTAGCACATTCGAACATTCTCGAAAGTATTAATTTTTTTAAGAACGTGAAAGTATGTGTTTTGGGTGACAAACAATAATGATTGCAACTTCAACGCTGCATTGATTTTCGTAAGCTAATACAGCTGCAAAGAAGTAGCCCCCCCCTCCCCCCAGACAACCATTCTTTAACGATAACAGTCTAGCATCAAAAGTTCCTTTTTCCCGCTGGATACGAGGATACAGCCATTCTGACTACTGCAATGTACTGTTCGCGGACTGTAATCTTGAGACTTGCGGGGTGAGGAAGAGGGGTGAAGGAGGAAAGATAGCGTATGCTATGCCAGTGGTATTCAACCTGGGGTACGCGAAGACATCTTAGTGGGTACATGAAATTTAAAACAAATATATTATTTTATGATAAACACTGAATAATCAGTAATATAATTTATTTAATTTATTTTAGATGTAGATTATATACAATGTATAACTTGAATTATACACCAACAACTTTGGGGGTACAAAGTTGAAGAGAAATTATATCTGGGGGTACGCGAACACAAAAGGTTGAATACCTTAGGGGGTACGTGAAATTTAAAAAAAAAATATATATTATTTTATGATAATCACTGAATAATCAGTAATGTAATTTATTTAATTTATTTTAGATGTAGATTATATACTATGTATAACTTGAATTATACATCAACAACTTTGGGGGTACAAAGTTGAAGAGAAATTATATCTGGGGGTACGCGAACACAAAAGGTTGAATACCACTGTGCTATGCAGTAGCCTTTAACGATTCCGAATTCCTGCATTCCTTGCAAGTCTCGAGATTACAGTCGCGAACAGTATAGAACACCATCGTAGAGGGGGCATCCCGCAATTGCGGCCAAAAGTTTCTTAATTCACTTAACGACGATGTTTCAACGATGCTAGTTATACAGCGACTAGTGTAAAACTATAAAGAAGGTTCCAAGATCCTCCTGAGTAACCGAACGTGGATGCTTCCTACTTGGGAGATGGCCGGTAGGAAATCTCGTCAAAATCTGGTCGGCCCAGAGTCCGCGTTTGAATCAAACATGAGCACTGGACTGACGTGTATATGAAAGACGATCTGGAAACATATCTGCATCACAATCCTGATAATGAGGTCAGATATTCTCCCTGAAACGTCGGAGACTTTAATCACGACACGGCTGACAGCCTGGTAATATCTGATAACAGTCAGTCGTAGTGAACGTTTCGAAATAAACAAACAACTGACGCTTTTCCTCAGTTCCTCAACAAAAATCCAGAAAGTGCCCTAAAATAGATCACAATCATTTCCTTCCTAACACTAGTCAAACCATCGTTCACCGTGAATAGACATTACAGAACATCTACACCTCAGAAAAAGGAGTCCTTGACTGTTGTCGTCTGTCTTGCTGTCCTGAAGCTTCCACGGTAAGGTGGATAAGATACTGCAAAGGCCCCAGAGCAGTTCTGGATGCAAAGACATTCCTGCATCTGTCGGGAACCAAACACCAGTCACTCAGGTAACTGAGCTATCCCGGGTACACGTTTTAGCAGAAAGTCGATAATCTGAGGGTGGAAAAATGTCGATGATGAAACGGGAAACCCACGCGGGCGAAACACTGTACTCACCGTACATCTTGCCTTCGTCCGATAAGATAATCTTCCGACGGCCACAGGGTGGATAGATTGCCAGGGCCTCCTGGAAGCTCTGTTCGATGTCAGGACTCCATACGCCCTCCGCATCCGCGGCTGCCAGGTCCTTGTCATCCTGAAGAAAAAAGATTGACTTGTGTCAAAACGCGAGATGATGTTCGGAGAAACATGTCGCCATACTGAGGGTCGAAGTGGGGTGTTGGGAACTACGTAGTTTACGTAGAGTCATAAGAAGGGATAAGCATCAACCCTGGAAATGGAGAAAGTTATGTTCCTCTGAAAGGTCTGTATCTACTTAAGGGTCCACACGGCGTCGCAACCCAGAAGAATATCGAAAATTGAAAAAACGTTCAAAGCATTTCAAGATTGAAGATTTCTGTCTTCTGGGTTGTGGCGCTGTGTAGTCTGGTCGATGTTTACCAACGTTTCAGAGGTCATACTGCCTCCATCATCAGAGTATGAAGATTTCTGTCTTCTGGGTTGTGGCGCTGTGTAGTCTGGTCGATGTTTACCAACGTTTCAGAGGTCATACTGCCTCCATCATCAGAGTATGAAGATTTCTGTCTTCTGGGTTGTGGCGCTGTGTAGTCTGGTCGATGTTTACCAACGTTTCAGAGGTCATACTGCCTCCATCATCAGAGTATGAAGATTTCTGTCTTCTGGGTTGTGGCGCTGTGTAGTCTGGTCGATGTTTACCAACGTTTCAGAGGTCATACTGCCTCCATCATCAGAGTATGAAGATTTCTGTCTTCTGGGTTGTGGCGCTGTGTAGTCTGGTCGATGTTTACCAACGTTTCAGAGGTCATACTGCCTCCATCATCAGAGTATGAAGATTTCTGTCTTCTGGGTTGTGGCGCTGTGTAGTCTGGTCGATGTTTACCAACGTTTCAGAGGTCATACTGCCTCCATCATCAGAGTATGAAGATTTCTGTCTTCTGGGTTGTGGCGCTGTGTAGTCTGGTCGATGTTTACCAACGTTTCAGAGGTCATACTGCCTCCATCATCAGAGTATGAAGATTTCTGTCTTCTGGGTTGTGGCGCTGTGTAGTCTGGTCGATGTTTACCAACGTTTCAGAGGTCATACTGCCTCCATCATCAGAGTATGAAGATTTCTGTCTTCTGGGTTGTGGCGCTGTGTAGTCTGGTCGATGTTTACCAACGTTTCAGAGGTCATACTGCCTCCATCATCAGAGTATGAAGATTTCTGTCTTCTGGGTTGTGGCGCTGTGTAGTCTGGTCGATGTTTACCAACGTTTCAGAGGTCATACTGCCTCCATCATCAGAGTATGAAGATTTCTGTCTTCTGGGTTGTGGCGCTGTGTAGTCTGGTCGATGTTTACCAACGTTTCAGAGGTCATACTGCCTCCATCATCAGAGTATGAAGATTTCTGTCTTCTGGGTTGTGGCGCTGTGTAGTCTGGTCGATGTTTACCAACGTTTCAGAGGTCATACTGCCTCCATCATCAGAGTATGAAGATTTCTGTCTTCTGGGTTGTGGCGCTGTGTAGTCTGGTCGATGTTTACCAACGTTTCAGAGGTCATACTGCCTCCATCATCAGAGTATGAAGATTTCTGTCTTCTGGGTTGTGGCGCTGTGTAGTCTGGTCGATGTTTACCAACGTTTCAGAGGTCATACTGCCTCCATCATCAGAGTATGAAGATTTCTGTCTTCTGGGTTGTGGCGCTGTGTAGTCTGGTCGATGTTTACCAACGTTTCAGAGGTCATACTGCCTCCATCATCAGAGTATGAAGATTTCTGTCTTCTGGGTTGTGGCGCTGTGTAGTCTGGTCGATGTTTACCAACGTTTCAGAGGTCATACTGCCTCCATCATCAGAGTATGAAGATTTCTGTCTTCTGGGTTGTGGCGCTGTGTAGTCTGGTCGATGTTTACCAACGTTTCAGAGGTCATACTCACCGCTGTGAAAACCTCAAATCTTACATATAAAAGATTTCACCTCCATTAACTCCACTGCAAAGAACATTCTTGTAATGAACGCAAATATACGCCACAAAGGCAGAAACAACGAAGAACCATCGCAGTGACTGGAAACCGATTAATTTCCTTATCGTAGTTGAGGATATGTCTCTAGACACCAGCAAAATAACGTAGTTCGCGTACAGTAACACAACGCACGTGTTTTAATGTATTCAGGGCTGTGATTGGTGGTTAGTTCTGAATTTCGCGAATTCTTTTATGCTGAGCCCGATACCTTGCCCGTGTTTACGGATGCGCGGAGTGCACCTATCGAGTTGATTTAAATTATTGAGTCCGAAGGTTAATCACTGCCATCTGTTAAACCGACGGATTACGCATTAACCCACCGTATACCATGCATTATTAGTTCACTAACCTCGTTAGCACATTTAAACCCATTGCCTTAATCAGTATGTGTACAATAAGCTTGTTGTTTATACAGAGGTAGGCTGACATCCGACTGACACACGTTCCGTAGTGTTTGATTCCCGTACACAGAGATAAAGCCATTAGAGTCTGTTTTGCTACAACGCGATATCAGCGTTCTTCAAAAACCCTGCGTTATAAAAATAACTTACCGTTTCTCCCTACACCATATTTCTACACAGACTGTATTCGAAAGCATTATATTAACCCTTTGAAGCCGAAGATCGTCTGAATATTATTTATGAATCCAGACCGTACCGCGAAGAAAACACTACACCTCACCATTACGAAAATCAGCTGGTTAACCCTTTGAAGCCGAAGCTCGTCTTCATAATATTTACGAATCCAGACCGTACCGCGAAGAAAACACTTCACTTAACCATTAGAAGTCGAATCAGGCGGTACCACATAAGATTTAACAAAAGAACATCCCGGTCAAAGCCTTAAAACGAACCCACATTTTGAAACACTGGCCCCCTATTGTGACGTATCGAAATCGCGTAATTAAAACACGAGTTGTAACAGAATAGACTTTTAAAACACCGAGCAATGACCACAAAGGGGCAATGAGAGACGATCGACCCATTTTGAACACAAGACTGGAAACTGGGCCATTCTGTGGCTACTAAATTGTTCGAAACTGCTAACTTAATATCAGACCGAACGTTGCAGCTCAAAAGAACTTTTCCTTGGCTTACGACTGCGCTTAAAATGAACACAAAATGGGAGGGTTCTCTCTGTCCAATAGCATGTTTCATCGCCAAAACAACTAAATAGATTTCGATTAAATTTGGATTTGTAGGTCTTCCCAAAATGTAATTTGGGGGAAAGGAACGAAACAAATTCAAATAGTTCTTGTAGTACGGCGATACAACTTTTCGGTCTGATCCTTTGGAACCTTAAAATGCTATTTAACACGAAATAAATGTCCAAGATCTCAAGGCTAGGCGCAAATGATTCTGTTTACGGCTAACCCAGGCTTTACGCTGTAACATCAACATCTAGAGCTGAACGGCCTTTAACTATGCATACGCATTTATATTTATGGTATATTTAATGACGTTTTCAGTAGCTCTGCCTATACAGCGCCGAATGAGAGGATGACAGTGAACAATGAATTGTTAGAGATGTGGAAGGAAGTGGTCGTGGCCTAATTTAAGGTACTATCCAAGCATTTGCCTGGAGAGACCCAGAAAAACCACGAAAAAACTCTGTCAGGAGAGCCGGTTTCCGGGCCGAAATATGAACCCGCGACCTCCCGAATACGAAGCAGGAGTAATGGCACTTAACTTGAATAAATCTGTAAGTGTAGATTCATTCACTTTCCCCTGGAAGCTCGCGTGTTTTGGTTCCGTCTTAATACACAGGACTTGAACCGTTAAAAGGTTAAGAGTTAATGTGAACGGTAATTAACTAACTGAAGAATGAGATGGGCTGGGCATGTAGCGCGCATGGATGGGACAAGAGGTGTGCACCGGGTATTGGTTGGGAAGTCTGAGGGGAAGAGACCTCTGGAGAGACCTAGACGTAGATGGGAGGATAATCTCAGGCGGGATCTATGGGAGATAGGAGTTGAAGGAGACTGGGTCCGGTGGAGGGCTTTGGTTAATTCGGTGATGAACCTTCGGGTTCAATAAGCCATCTGGTTGGTTGGGTCCACTATTTGGGAAGCCACCTCTGGGGAGACGTAGACGTAGATGGGAGGATAATCTCAGGCGGGATCTATGGGAGATAGGAGTTGAAGGAGACTGGATTTTGTTGGCCCAGGACAGGGTCCGGTGGAGGGCTTTGGTTAGTTTGGTGATGAACCTTCGGGTTTCATAAGCCATCTGGTTGGCTGGGTCCACTATTTGGGAAGCCTGAGGGGAAGAGACCTCTGGGGAGACCTAGACGTAGATGGGAGGATAATCTCAGGCGGGATCTATGGGAGATAGGAGTTGAAGGAGGCTGGATTTTGTTGGCCCAGGACAGGGTCCGGTGGAGGGCTTTGGTTA